ATAGAGGTCGAGTAATGCGGCTCATTCTAAAATGAGCCTTATGCAGTGCGGCGTAAGGGAGAAAATGCAACATCTGCACTTGTTTACAAGTTATGCGCGTTACCTGCGTAGGTATAAGTAGGTACTTCGTACTCGCGGGTCCTAGCTAATTCTCAATTTAACAGGTACTTTCTAGAATGCGTCGATCGGCGTATATAAGCGCGATTGGCGCCGCGCAGAGACAGTGGAGTTTCAACAGCGATTTCGGAGCGAATCCAAACGCGATCAAAGTGCAACAAAAGTGCTCAAGTGCGATCGTTTAGAGACTTGTATAGTGTGTGGCACATCACTACGCGTCGTCGTGCCCTCATCACTAACAGCGGCTACGTCACGAACGCGTATGTCGCGGGGCGCGGTATGCGGGAGACGCGGACCGGTCTGGAACCTGCTCCCAGTCGCTTGGCCGGCAGCGCAGTGTGCTACGAATCACCTCGCACACAACTCCACGTCACTCGTCCTTCCGTCTTTTCCAATACAATTATTGTTAATATCTCGTTAATTATTATCAGTATACGAATTGTATTTCTTCTACGGTGTTTCACTTCGTATCCGCTCGCTATTTGTAGGGATAGTAACATTACATCCTCAGTGGTGACTCCAATTCAATACGCTTTTAATCTTTTGATTTTTCTGCGCGTCGTGTTATTTTGCCTGCGTTGTTATAATGAATCCGCCTCGTAGCGATAGCGATGACGTCGCGCAAGAATTTAAGGACGCGAGCGGTGAAGATACTAGTGCGGTGGACCGAGTTACTTTACGTTTGCCCGCATTTTGGCCGGAAGATCCCGAAATTTGGTTTGCGCAGGTTGAAGTACGAGAAATTGAAACAGGAACTTATTAGTCGCCTTTCGGTTTCCCGGGAACATCGAATGCGTCAATTGCTTACTCATGAGGAGTTAGGTGATCGCAAGCCGTCGCAATTTTTGCGCCACCTTAGAGCTTCAGCAGGGGATGGTGTTAGTGACGATTTTTTACGCAGCTTGTGGTCAGGTCGCCTTCCAACGCATATTCAAGTTATTATTGCGTCACAAAAAGCTACTTGTCTCGATGAGGTTGCCGTTCTTGCTGATCAAATTTATGACGTTGTTCCTACCCCCAATCAAGTTGCTAGTACTTCATCGAATAGTATGGAAGGAATGTTTCAACGGTTAGAGGAGATGATTTCGTCACGCATTAAGACAGAGTTAAGCCACCAGTTGTCCCAATTGAATATAGATACAGGGCATGGTCGTCAGTCGTTCCGGAGGCGGTCTAGTAGGTCAAGGTCAAGGAGTAGATCTAGAAGCGCCGGACCAGGTCAGATTAGGAAGTCGGGTATGTGTTGGTACCACTACAAATTTGCTGAAAAGGCTAGTAAATGTATCCATCCTTGCAATTATAAGGAAAACTCGCGAGACGGTCAGTAATGGCGACAGCCGACTGTCATGCAACTACCCGTCGCCCATTTGTTACTGACAAAGAAAGCAAAATTCAATATTTAATCGACACTGGCTCCGATCTTTGTGTTTTGCCTCGTAGATTTTTACGTGCATATGTAACACCTACTGATTACAGCCTCACAGCAGCCAACGGTTCCAGCATCCGTACTTACGGATTGATGAAGATGCGTCTTAACCTGGGACTTCGCCGCGATTTTTCATGGAATTTCGTAGTAGCTGATGTGGACAAGCCTATCATAGGGGCGGACTTCATCGCTCATTATGGATTGCTGGTCGATTGTAAGAATGGTCGTTTATTAGATAGTCTAACTACCCTCTCAACGGCTGTTACGAGTAAACCCTGTCAGCTGCATAGTATCAAGGCGATCGCGGGTAAAAGTGAGTACCACACTTTATTAGCTAGATTCCCATCGCTGACAAAGCCACCAGGTGTATTTCGCGAAGTCAAGCATAATACGGTGCACTATATTCGCACTACGCCTGGACCCCCAGTTTATTGCAGGCCTCGACGTTTGGCGCCAGATCGCTTGAAAATAGCCAAGGAACAATTTGAGGAGATGCTTCGAGATGGTACAGCTCGACGTTCTGACTCACCCTGGGCTTCAGCTCTTCATTTAGTACCCAAGAAGGGAGACAGCTGGAGACCATGTGGCGATTACCGAGCTCTCAATGCCAGAACTATTCCAGATAGGTATCCCATACCTCACATCCAGGATTACTCACATCGGTTAGCTGGCTGCACAATATTTTCAAAAATAGACCTAGTGAAAGCTTATCATCACATACCAGTTTTCAAGGACGACATACCCAAAACGGCTATAACTACCCCCTTTGGAATGTTCGAGTTTCCGTTTATGTCGTTTGGTTTGAGGAACGCAGCTCAAACGTTCCAACGGTTTATTGATGAGGTTCTTCGAGATCTAGATTGTTGCTTTTCGTATTTAGACGATATAATTCTATTTTCCAGAAATAATTCCGAGCACCTGGAACACCTGGAGAAGGTATTTAGCCGCCTACAAGAATATGGGATCCTCGTCAACGAAGCTAAGTGCAGTTTTGGCCAAACTAAGGTAACATTTCTTGGTTACTCTATCTCTGCATCGGGTACAAAGCCTACGGAGGAGAAAGTAGCAGCTATCCAGGAATTTCCCCCACCCAAGACTGTGGGAGGCCTGTTGCGTTTCTTAGGAATGCTAAATTTTTATAGGCGTTTTATTCCTCATGCTGCAGAAGATCAGGCACCGCTACACAATATGTTGGCTGGAGGAAAGAACAAGAGTTCTCAACCGTTGACCTGGACACCAGAACAGCTGTCTGCATTTGAGACGTGTAAGGCAAGTCTCTCCAGGTCAGCTCTTTTAGCACATCCTTTGCATAACGCACCGCTTGCGCTTGTAACGGACGCTTCTAACGTAGCACTAGGCGCGGTAGTACAACAGCTAGTAGAAGGTAGTTGGCAACCGTTAGCTTTCTTTTCAAAAAAATTAAACAGAGCTCAGCAGCAGTATAGTGCTTATGACCGTGAATTGCTTGCAATATATGAGAGCGTTAAGCATTTTCGCTATTTAGTAGAAGGCCGTCACTTTACAATTTTTACAGACCACAAGCCTATTACTTATGCTTTCCTGCAAAAAGATCGGAAATGTTCCCCAAGGCAGTTCAATTATTTGGATTTTATTTCCCAATTTACCACAGACATTAAACACATTTCGGGCAAAGAAAATATAACTGCTGATGCATTGTCTCGTGTAGAGGTTATATCTATCCCTCCTGATTTTGAAACGATAGCACAGAAGCAGCATAACGATCCAGAAATTCGTGAGCTTTTGGAAAATAATTCTTCTTCCTTAAAACTTCAGAAAGTTCCAGTACCAGGTACGGATATTACCCTTTACTGTGACGTTTCTCAGTCGAGACCCCGTCCATACATTCCGAAGGAGCTGCGCCGTTTTATTTTTGACAATGCTCACAACATGAGCCATCCCGGAGTTCAGCCCACTACAAAACTAATCACCGACCGATTTGTTTGGTCTTCTGTGAAAAAAGACTGTCGTGATTGGGTAAGAAGTTGCATATCATGCCAGAGATCTAAGGTACAGAGACATACCTCTTCTCCCACAGCTGACTTTCCATTAACTGCCCACCGATTTAGTCACATACACATTGACTTAATAGGTCCACTCCCACCGTCCAATGACTTTAGATACTGTCTTACGGCTGTGGATAGGTTTACCAGATGGCCAGAAGTCATACCACTTGTTAATATTACAGCTGAATCCGTAGCTAAAGCTTTCTATGATGCTTGGGTAACACGCTTTGGGTGTCCGGAAACTGTGACAACTGACCAAGGACGTCAATTTAATTCGCATTTATTCAAATCTTTGACAGATCTTTGCGGAATTCGACTACGACATACCACAGCTTACCACCCAGAGGCGAACGGAATGGTGGAGCGTTTTCACCGGACGTTAAAAGCTGCGATAATGGCCCACGAGACTACACGATGGACAGACGTGCTGCCTACAGTACTCCTTGGAGTGCGTACTGCTTGGAAGTCCGACATGCAATGCTCTGTTGCTGAGATGGTATATGGTGAGCCTCTTCGGATTCCTGGTGAGTTCCTCCATTCTAATAACTCCCAGTTACCTCAGCCATCAGACTTTGTGTCTAATCTGCGCATTCATATGTCACGCTTGAAGCCAGTGCCAGCATCGCGACATGGTCAGAAAACCATTTTTGTCCACCAAGACTTACCAACAGCACAGTACGTATTCCTCAGAAAGGATGCTTTACGTGGTTCTTTGGAAGCTCCATATAGTGGTCCTCATAAAGTTTTGAAACGGACAGAGAAAACAGTAACTGTTGAATTGAATAGAGGACCGGTTACCGTTTCAATAGACAGAACCAAACCAGCATTCGTTCTGACGGAAGCGAAGAATGCACCACCAAATAATCCTACAAATCGCCCTGAGCCCGAACCTGTCAAAACTACTCGTTCGGGGCGACATGTTAAATTCCCTCATTATTTTTCCGCAGGGTATTGATTCTCCCAGGGGGGTGGTGTGGCACATCACTACGCGTCGTCGTGCCCTCATCACTAACAGCGGCTACGTCACGAACGCGTATGTCGCGGGGCGCGGTATGCGGGAGACGCGGACCGGTCTGGAACCTGCTCCCAGTCGCTTGGCCGGCAGCGCAGTGTGCTACGAATCACCTCGCACACAACTCCACGTCACTCGTCCTTCCGTCTTTTCCAATACAATTATTGTTAATATCTCGTTAATTATTATCAGTATACGAATTGTATTTCTTCTACGGTGTTTCACTTCGTATCTGCTCGCTATTTGTAGGGATAGTAACATTACATCCTCAAGTGAAATACAGTGTTTAGTGAGTGTTTTGTAATTAACATTGTGTGTTAATTGTGTGAACTGTGTGGTGAATAAATAACTGTCAAGCGTGAACTGGCATATAATTTCGAACCCCATCCCGACACGTAACAGTATAATAAAAATAACTCACATTTCTTATCGCTACCGCTCAGAAACATAGCTAAAGCCGAGAATCTTTTGACAGCACACATGTTCTTCAAGTAAGCTGCTACCGTGTGTTGTTTGAACTTGTCTTTGTCAGAATGCAACACTTGAATCACTTCGGATAATACGTCGCTTTCAAGGGAATTCTCGAATATGGATGGTATCTTGGACGGGTCTATGATCTGAGAACAAATAATAAAATCTATTATTAAAAATAAAACTTAAATTATCAATAAAAAGAAAAGCAAATAAAATTTATTTAAAATTCTTTACCCTTAATAAAATATAAATTACATTTAAATTAAATTTGTTGGTGACAAGTTAACAATGATGAATAGCTCTCAGATGCAACATTACTTGGGTTAGGTGTAAAAAAATGATAATTTTATAGTTATATATATTTTTAAGCATTTAACTGCTAGTGGTTTAAATCTAAATAAAATTTTACTAGAAAAAAATCCACGCAGACCAGGCAGCAGACGGGATTCGAACCCACACCCTTCGCAATCCGGGCGAATGCACTGACCAATTATGCTACCATGGCCCTGATGGCTGTCCCTGATTCCTCTAGCCATTCTTAACCTGCAAGGCAGCGCCATCTCTTCGCATTATACGTAACCCACAATGTCAAAAGAATACTTTTACAAGTATTAAACATTCGAAAGAGGAGATAGATAGCAATTATAGTTATAATTTTTAATTTTAAGCATGTAACTGCTTGATGTTTAAATCTAAGGAAAATATAACTAGAAAAAATTCCACGCGGACCAGGCAGCAGACGGGACACGAACCCGCACCCTTCGCTATCCGGGCGAATGCACTGACCATTATGCTACCGCGGCCCTGATGGCCGTGTCCAATTTTCTTTAGCCTTTTTTAAGCCACAAGGCAGCGCCATTTCTTCGCATTGTAGATAAATCAGGTGAGCCGTCTGCTCGTATGCCCCCTATAACATATAACCATAATGGTCAGTGCATGTACCTGCACCCCTGTAGCATAATGGTCAGTGCATTTGACCCGATAGCGAAGGGTGCGGGTTCGTGTCCCGTCTGCTGCCTGGTCGGTGGATTTCTTTTTAGTAAAATTCTATTTAGATTTAAACCACTAGCAGTTAAATGCTTAAAATATATAAACGAGTATAACTGTAAAATTATCATATTTTTATACCTAACCCAAGTAATGTGGCATCCGAGAGCTATTCATCATTGTTAACTTGTCACCAACAAATTAAATTTAAATGTAATTTATATTTTATTAAGGGTTAAGAATTTTAAGTCAATTTTATTTACTTATTAAACATTTGAAAGAATAAATAGCAATTATAGTAATATTTTAGCTTTGTAACCATTTAACTGCTAGATGTTTAAATGTAATTTTTTTTTACTTACACTAAGATACTCAGCCCTGGTCTTCACTTTCATATACTTCCAATCGGCCATAAACTGCACGCTGTTGTTAGGGGGAGACAATTTCCCCCTCAGTTCCTCGTTATTGGGAGGAGAAAGACTCCCTTGCAGTTTCTCAGAGCCGATGACGTCACTCACTAGTTTGACTGACTCGGGGCTGGATAAGTTGGAGTCACCCTTGGATTTGTCCAAATCGAGGGAGATATCTGTGTGACGAGAGATATTTAGGCTTAATGACCGCAATTCTAACATAAATAGGCACTCACATAAATACATCATCATCATCAGCCTATTAATGTCCCCCACTGCTGGGGCACAGGCCTTATGGATGGAATAGGAAGATTGGGCCATGACCCACCACGGGGGCCCAGTGCGGATGCTAACGAATGCAGATGCAGCCGGGACAAACGGCTTAACTTGCCTTCCGGAGCACGGAGGAGCTCGAGATAAAAGATTTTTGGTCACCCATCCAATGACCGACCACTACGAAAGTTGCTTAACTTTAACGATCGCAGCCGAACGCGCTAACCACCTGCGCCATCGAGCTCCTCGACTAATGGCAGTATCTAAAAAATAAAAATACGAGATGAAAGTGTGTGTTTCTCACTTTTTCTCTCGTCCTCTTGTTCGTAGATTTTATTGGAATCATTGTTGTTTGAGTCTCCGCGCTCGTTGCCTTCTAGTTCAATGATCTTGAGTCGAGTCGGACACTTCTCTGGACTTGTATTGCCCAGTTGAATTTCTTTTATGGGTACGTGTTTTAGTGCTCTCTGAAAAAGAAGGAAAAAACATTGGTAAGTAAAGATATCTAGAAAGTAATAGGGATGATGACGGGGTACAATGTAAGGTAAACGAAATTCTATTTAGTCCGTCAGTTAGATGATCAGAAAATAATGGACACGTATTTTTTCTTTGGGCAATGAACTAAAAAATGACAAAGTTATAGCGCGTCAAAGTTTGGGAGTAGGGGCTCGTGACGTCACTTTTAAGTGAAAATTGTACCAAAACGTGACGTCATGCGACTTTTCAAATCAATATATCTCTGCAATGTTTATATTATGTGAAAAAATAAAAAATACATGTCCAATACTTTTTGATAATCTACCTGATAAACGAAGAAAAAAAATAGTCATCATCCCTATTGGATTTTCTAAATATGACAAAGTAAGAAGCTATAGCTGTAATACAAACCTACTGAAAATCTAATACTTATATGTTAATTTTTGTAATATTTGTTATACTGTTTCATGGTTGTAGTGATAATAATTGTATAATGCGATTCAAATAAGAATAGGAAAGCCAATAACCTCCATCTGTCTAATGTCGCTTGAAAAGTACGGCTTGCAAAAAAATCTTGGAACCCTTTTTTAGCACTCAGCTAATTATGTAATAAAAACCAAACATTTGTAAACAGACAATAACAAATATTGTTAATTAATATTGTAAACAAATAATAACAAATATTGTTCATAAACAAACAATAACAAATATTGTTAATTATTTATAGTGCATGATTATTCATAACTACTCCAGCGGTAATGCAGAGATGAGCGGAATTGAAGAGCTTAATTCTGATTAATGTCTTTTCTCGCAGTCTTAATAAATAAATATTATTAAAAATGGGATGTTTTTTCTCACTTTATTTTAGTAAACAACATTTATTAAATAAAAATTTTTTTGCTCACTACATTTTTCGTTTGATTTGACAGCTATGACGTCACAATATGGCGCCCCGTCGATCCTATTCTTAGTTGAATAGCATTAGAAGAGAATAGAATAGAAATAAATTTATTAGCCTTAAACACAGTCATTACATAAATAAAACAAGACAAAAATAGGCCAACTAGGTCCCTGTCTCAGCTTGAATACTACAGCAACACCAGGGCTGCTGCAGCGCTGATAATTCTGGCAGGGCCTATGGTTGATGACACAGATAATAAATAAAACAGCAATAATACACCAAAAGAAACAAGCATACCAATAAATCATATCACAGAGAAAAAAAATGGAATGGCTGTATGTTTTTACAATCTTAGCCTTAGGACAATGCAAAGATTTAGTAAAAAAAAATGACAAATCTGTAGGAGGACAGAGTACAAACTGAACCTCCAAAAAAATAAAAACACTAACCTTAAAACTATAAACACACACAATTTATAGTTATAATTTTTATTATTTTTAAAGCATGTAACTGCTTGATGTTTAAATCTAAAGAAAATATAACTAGAAAAAATTCCACGCGAACCAGGTTTTACACACACACAATTTATGTTGCAAAAATAATAATAGTAATTTCGCTGCCGATTTATGCCTGTGTGTAACTAAGAATAGACAGCAAGAGAGGACATACAACATAAGACAGTGTGCAAAAACAGCAAAACAACAAATAATCAGCAAATACACAGGAATTCAGCTACAATTACAATGTTGCATCTTACATTACTATACCAACGTGGTGAAAGCAAGATGGATGGCGAGATTTTTTATACGGATATGGCTATAATAACAGACAAAAATTACGTCGATCGTCGATAGTGCCAGCTAACACAACCGGAACGATTCAAACAAACCGACGCGAAGTGAAAAAACTAGGTAACGCGTGTCGTGAATCCTATGATGAACTTTGTATTTGAAGTATATATATTTTGAAATGTTTTCTGAATGGTCCAATGGTTTTCAGTTCACGCATGGGCGGGGGAAGATCGTTCCAGCACTTTGAGGCTGCAAACCGAAAGGATCCACGCTGCTGTTCGGTGCTTCATGGTAAAGAAGACAGGCCCACACCGTCTAACCGGGTATCTACTCTGGTCACGCATCCATACAAGCTTATTATAGAGATAGCTTGGCCTTCCTTTGTCCAGAACATCAAATAATAAGATAGCTAAATGTAACTTCCTCCTTGCCTCCATCTTTAAAAGTTTTGCGGCGTTCAAAAAGGGAGTTATGTGTGAACGAGGAGGCACATAAAAACAAAAACGAGCACAAGCATTCTGTATGCGTTGAATGATCTTACTAGTTCTGGACATTAGGCAGGGTCCAAAAACAGTATTACAGTAATTTAACTTTGAAAGAACGAGCATTTCACACAACTTGATTCTCAGCTCCTCACTTAAATAGGGTCTAATATTGTACAGCAGCTTTAACCTATAAAAGCAAATGCGGGAACATTCAGCAATGTGACTTTCGAAGCTAAGTTGTTCATCTATAATCAGTCCCAAATTTCTAGCATAATTTACGCGTTCTATTCTCTCTCCATCTATATTTATATTAAGTGTCATGTCTTCAAAAATTTTAACATTCTTTTTGGAACCTATTAATAATAATTTAGTTTTTTTTGGGTTGAGAACCAGAGAGTTCGACTTGCACCAATCGGAAATACGATTTAGATCCTCGTTCATGTTATTTATAGCATTATTGTGGTCAGAGTACTTGAATGGAAGATACAGTTGCAGGTCGTCTGCATACAAGTGATATTGACAGTGGCGTATATTTTCTGTGATATCACCGCTGAATAAAACATACATAGTGGGTCCCAAAATTGAGCCCTGAGGGACACCATGGGTCACCATGAGCTTGTTGGAGCGCTGTTTGGTTCCATCTATCCTTGTCAGTTCAACGCACTGTTGTCTATTTCCAAGGTAACTATGAAACCACTTTATTGATTGGGCACTAACTCCATAGTAAGCCAGCTTAGAAAGCAGGAGATCCACATTAATTGCGTCAAACGCCCTTGAAAAATCAAGCAATAAAAGGATACTAAGGTTCCCCTGATCCTGGGCTGCTAGAAGGTTATCCACAACATCTGCTAAGGCAGTTGCCGTGCTATAACCTCGACGGAATCCAGACTGTCGCTCTGGTAATATATTATTAGTCTCTAGGAATCTTATGAGTTGCTCACAAACAACTTCCTCCAAGACCTTAGACACAAAGGGGAGCAGGCTAATAGGTCTCAAGTCATTCATGATGGTCGGGTTGCTGACTTTAGGCAGGGGCTTAACTATATTATATAATATTTGTTTATAAGTCATTCATTACACTGTAGTCAAGAATTCATGAATTTCTTGTCACGATGTTTGTCACAATGTTAGTTACCATATACTCCTCTGAAACGGCTTGATCGATTTTTATGAAAATTTATATGCATATTTAGTTGGTTTGAGAATCTGCTACTATTTTTCATACCCCTAAGTGATAAGGGTTGACCACCCCTAACATTTTTTTTTATGATGTAGCATCATAAAATACATACAACCCAAAATTTTCACCCTTCTACCACCCATATTTTTATGGCAATACGAAGTTCGCTGGGTCAGCGAGTATATCAATATATTTATAATGATATGTTAAGTTTGTGACAAAGCCGGCTGCACGCACGAAAAAACATGACTTATGCGGCGTTACCTCGCTCTGAGGCGTTCCATTTAAGGCTTGAAGTGCAAGCGAGAGCGAGCAACGAGCGACAAAGAGGCACAATCGGCCTCCGCGCTCGGCAGCGTTCGACATCTGTCTCTCTCCTACTTGAGTGAGCGATGCGTCCGCGTGGATAGCTGCTATACAATAATACATTTACATGTTTTCTTTAAGTATGAAGTACAGTGAAAAGTGAAAGTGGTGTCAATTGTTTATAGCAACGATAATTACGGCGAATGATGATGTAATGATATCACACATGTTTAAAAGTTGTAAAACAATTGCTCAAAGCACATTCATACTTGTTAAAACTATGTACATTGTCACGTTCAACTATCGTCAGTAAACCGCTTTTACAGACAACCGATTTTTTTCTCATAAAACATTGACTATGATATGAGTAAGTAAAAGACCACATCTCATTTGTATGTTAATCAAAGCAAATATTCACATACCTTCGATCTCAGATGTGGTGGTTTCTTAACAGGTTTGATGACTGTGATATTCTCCCCGATGCCATCTCTCCATTTGTCCACAACGGTGGGTTGAACGACTATGGGCTTCGGTTCATCGGGCAACTCCACTATCTTCGGCGGCATCTTTGGTTTGGTGTTGACGAACGGCTTAGTTTCTACGGTGGGAGTGCTGGACGGTGAAGATTTCGATTTGGACTGGAAGTTGTGATAATAAAATTAATATCATCATCATTAAATAAAACTAGTTTGAACTGGTTAATGCACGAACTTTATTTATTTATTGACGTTTCGCAGCCTTTTTAGATCTGCATCGTCAGAATATTTATTTATATTATTCTGACAATGTAGACCTGACAAGGCTGCGAAACGTCAAATTAATAAATAAAGTTCGTGCATTAACCCGTTAAAACAAGTTTTATTTAATGTGTGATGTGCGTGAAAACCAAAGAAACCTATATCATCATCATTATGAACCTATTAATGTCCTCACTGCTGGGTGATTGGCCTTCCGTATTGATGGAAATGGGGGATTGGGCCATGCATGACCCACTACGCAGGCTATTTTATTAGCTTTCAAAACAAGTTACAATAAATTATTTATTAATAAACAGAGCAATTACAATATTATAGTGTTTTATTTATTATGATTTTAAAGGAAGACTTGTAGAGAATGTTTATTAGCATTAACTCCGCCTTTTGTATCATTTTAATGTGGTCAATAGTGTTTGATGAACAAGTAAATAAATATTATAAAACCAAACTGTAACTCTAAATATGTAGGCATCATCATCAGCCTATTAATGGCTTCACTGCTCGGGCACAGGCCTTCCCTATGGATCAAATAAGGAGATTGGGCCATGACCCACCACGCGGGCCCAGTGCGGATTGGCGGGTGCTAACGACTGCAGATGCAGCCGGGACCAACGGCTTAACGTGCCTTCCGAAGTACGGAGGAGCTCGAGATAATAAATATACGGCCACCCATCCCATTGCATGATGCGGACTTTATAATATAACTATTTAAAAAGTACAAATAAAAATACTGAACATTTCTTCCCGTTTCCGTTCCTGCAACAGTTTCCATTGTTGGTAGTCGTACCATTATGTTATATATCCTATAGCCTTTCGATACATGTTCTATCCAACTCAATAAATATATATGAAATTCAGACCAGTAGTAGTTCCCGCGATAAGCACGTTCAACCAAACAAACACTCTTCGGCATTCAATAATGTTACAGAGTATAGATAAAAGGAGGAGCTCGATGGCTCAGGTGATAAGCGCGCTCGGCTGCGATCGTTGAAGTTAAGCAACTTTCGCAGTGGTCGGTCATTGGATGGGTGACCAAAAACATCTATCTCGAGTTCCTCCGTGCTTCGGAAGGCACGTTAAGCCATTGGTCCCGGCTGCATCTGCAGTCGTTAGCACCCGCTAATCCGCACTGGGCCCGCATGGTGGGTCATGGCCCAATCTCCCTATTCCATCCATAGGGAAGGCCTGTGCCCCAGCAGTGGGGACATTAATAGGCTGATGATGATGATAGATAAAAGGATAACAGTATAATAATTAACTCATTGCTTTCTTTGTGCATCATCACAAATTTGTCTGTCTGCATTATTATGATTAACAAGATAAGTCTAGTATTTGTCAAAGCCTATATGCTTAGACAATTTTGTTTAGGAACCTACTATGGTAAATGAAATGCAATCTATCGACAGACAGCAGGGGCTACGAAATAACAGACGCTATTTCACAGAACACGGAAAGAGGTTAGAAGGGTGATCATATACTGTTTATACGGGAACCGATGTCGCCGGCTCGCCCCCACTACATTTCCACCTAATAGTTAATAGCCAATCCAACGCAGCCACATCAAACAATTGAACCAATCAGGTTGTCGTTGCTATCGGCTGTGAGCCGATACCCTGCCTAACCTGATTCAACAATCAAAACCAAGTTTTGTTCAAGTTATGAGCATTTGCTCACACATGACTCTATCCTGCCCCGCCCACAAGACCCTTCTAACATCTTTCTGTGGGCAATTTGACAGTATGAAATAAAGTAGATACCGATTGATGGCATCTGTATTTAATATGAATATTAGCAGCGATTATACTATTCTGAAAGAACAAATTATTAATAACTTTTATAAAAAAATCATTGAATACAAATGTTCTTTTTTGTTCCATCACACACCGAAAACACGTGACCGAAAACGTTTGGGATTAGCGAACATTAAAATGACGTCACACGCTAGTAAACTTCCGGTCGTAGTGACATGACATTGTATCGTTTGGCGTTTTAATGACAATCGTGTGACGTCACTTACCAGTGAGACGCCATGATGTTCAAATTTCTACAGCTATACTCAACGAGTTTGCAGGCGGCTACTGCACAACTTAAAAAAACCTCTAGTCTCAAATAATACCTTCTCTTTTAACCCGAACATTGGTAGAAACGTCACGTAATGAGACGCCGCAATAATCAACAAAAATTTAACTGTCCAGAGAAAGGTTATTGCAGCAACTTGAAAATGATTTTTTTAATTAGTTTTTTTACTGAAATTCACAACAGAATGATGAATTTTATGGACCCCATAAACGTTAGTAAAATAGTAAGATTGTTTTCTAAAACTTATCAAATACCCTATTGATAACCCTTGTGATATTTTGTGTACAGGATTCTATAAAGACTATATGTATAATTTTAAAACCAACACACTCAAAAAAAAATAGAATTCTTTAAGTCTAAAAAGACCACACTTACCCCTTTAGTCCCCATCCTAGCTTTGATAGTATCCAATTGTTTCCTAGCGGCATGGTTGTGAGGTTCCAGCCTCAGCACTTCAGTCAAATCATGAGAAGCAGACCGTAATGAGCCTAGTTTCTCTCGGGCAGTGGCTCGACGCTGCAATGCTTTCACATATGTGGGGTCTAAGCGGAGTGCTTCTGTGCAGTCTGTTTCAGCCTGGTGTAGACTGGAAAAATAAGTTTGTAAGCGAATAAAACAAATCAATTGAAGTTTAAATAAAGCTTATAAATTGTGTTAGTTATTAATGTAATTAGCTGTCTATTCAGGAGTAGAGAAATCACAATGAAAATAAGATTAAAATTTAAAAAAATAAGCCAAATCCAAAAGTACTATGAAACTATCTTCTCCACTTCTTTCAATGATTTATTTACTATCAAATTGTTTATCAATATTTATTTATTAAAAAGCAATAGATGCACAAAAAACGTATATTAACTTCATGATAAAATAAATAACAGTAGTTTATAACTAACTGCCCCCCTTATAGTCATTGTTTGATTTACATAACTGTTTCAACAAATATTGATATGATGATGATGGTGAAAAGTTCCTGGTAGCATATTCAGAACTTCTATGCATAGTGAAACTATATAGCTAATTGTGTTTTCACAAGTCTTGAACAAAAATATCTTGCAGATAAAGCACTGCTTATCTGCAGTCTGCAACAGCCTTTATCTGATAGATAGAACTGAAACAATATCAGGTACTAGTGAATCTGGCTTGTAGCAGCAAATTACCAACCAACCTGTCTTTTTTCAAGTAACAGAGTCCCCTATTAGCATAATAAATGGCGTCATCTTTCACCAGTTCAATAGCACGGCTGTAGCATGATATAGCCTCATCCCATTTCTCCTGCTTCACAAAAGTGTTGCCCTGGAAACGAGGAAATAGATCAATGCTAACCAATTTCTGGAAATTTACACACAAACATATTGATTATTAAACTTAGCTTATGCATTGTTACTTTTATTCTAAGCTGTAAAGCTTACTCTAATTACAACTTAATGTAACTATTAGTAAATAGAAAAATGAGAGAATTACTTTTTTCTTCTAAAAATCTATGAACTTTTTGCATCTGCTTGCATTTGGTAACCAACTAAACTGTTATTTTTTTTTTTCAAACCATGTTTTTCTAGAAACTAGTAAATACCTCTGAATTCTTTTTTTATTTTTATTTATAGGGTAAACTCTTGATCCTCCAACTGGCCCGAGAGCAGAGATGGGATCTACGGTGTATCAAGCTTACCCGGAGAGCCCATTCACTAGGCTTTAAAAAGAGTCAGATTAAATGTACTCAGAAACACAGATGCAGGCAGGCAATTCCTCTCTTGCAATATGAACTAAATTAAGTCATACATAATATGTAAATAAATATGTTGTTAAAAAGATTTAATCTTCCAGTAAACTTTAAACAAATGGTCTTATTAAGTAAACTGATAAATAAGAATGTCCATGGGTGTGTTAATATAATGGGTATGCTAATTATGCTAATGATAAGAATATAAATATCTAAGGCACATAAGTATTGACAAAGACAAAGGAACTGTTTATTTTAAGGAATGCTAAGAATATGAATATCGAAGGCACATAAGTTTAGACAAAAACATAGGAACTGATGACATCTGAAACATCCTTGTTTACTTTCAATAAACACAGAATACTGCATGCTTACCCTTTCTTTCTCGTATTGTGCCTCTTCTTTCAATTTCTCTAGTTTTGCCTGCTGGCTCATCTTGCCATCAAGCGACACTGGACCAACTTCCTCCATATCTACTTCCTCGCATGCTTTATCCTGTATTTGGAAATAGTTGATGTTACAGTTAAGTTTACCATCTTTATAGACTGGTTATGAACCACTGGCTTTGTTGGCAGCAAAATTGGATCATTAAGTAGATTAACAGCAAAGTACTAACACATATTTATATATTTTTAGTAAGAACTTTTTATGTTATGTGTAGTGTAGCTACGACTTTAACATTGATTTACCCATGTTTTTATGGATTGACATTTCTGTTTTTTCATGGCAATTTCTCATATAAATATGCAAAAGCTCACACAATATTGTTCACAATTTTTTGCAAAAATTAATAGAAATTTTGGGATACTATTTCTTTTTCTCATTTTGTGTATTTTAGTAGAACTTTTTATGTTATGTGAAGTGTAGCAAGGACTTTAACATTGATATTCCAATGTTTTAATGGATAGACACTTGTATATTTTCATGGCAATTTCTCATATAAATGTGCAAAAGTTCACACAATATTGTTTACAATTTTTTTCAAAAATTAATAGACATTTTGGGATACTATTTCATATTTTTTATCATTTTGTGTACAAAAACATATGGAACTCTGCTGTCATTAAGTAATAATTACACTGAAATAATAAAATTGTTTTTATTGCTGATTGGTGAAAAATGTGTTGACAACTTTATTTTATTTCTTCAGAAGTCTTATTGTAATGACCAAATAAAGGATTGTTGACAAAAGGAAAGACCTACATTATTTAAATTCATATGTCTATAATTAATCAAATCTTTCTCTAGCTATCACCTGGTCTATTGTTAGTATTTTATGTCCACTTGAAATTAAAAACAGAATGATACAATGTATAATTATTAACGACAAAATTCATTCAACAGCATGAAAGCTTTTGTTTTCAATCTTGAGTTACGAAATGTACTAAATAAGGATACAAATTACCACATGATATTGTATAAATCATTGTTAATTTTAACATAAACTATTTGTCATCAAATAAACAATCAACAGCACTAGAGCTTTTGTTTGCAATCTTGGGTTACCAAATGTACTAAATAGGGATACAAATTACCACATGATATTGTATAAATCATTGTTTTTTGTAGCATAAGCCTTTGAAAAACTGTTTTTTCAAGAAGGTGTGGTGATTTTCCACTGCGTAAACGTTGGTCCATGTCGCCATACAGCCAGTGTCTATGGAGATTTTGTAAGAGAAGAGTTTAGTAGGTAAGAGTTTATGGCGACATGGACCAACGTTTACGCGGTGGAAAATCGCCACACCCTCTTACCTTTTATAAAGAGAACAGCTATTAACACTTACCTAGGTAGAACATATTTAAAAGATTAAATACGGATATACTTACAACATCAAACTTTTCCCAGGACTGGTAGTCGGAGGCACTTATTCGTTTCTCTGGTTTCTTTCGCACAGCGATCGGTTTGTCCTTTTTCGCTTTACTCCTAACTGGCGGTAGATCCTAACCTCAAAAGATGGCACGTAAGTTAATAAACCGATCACTCAAGAATTCAAATAAAGTCACCATGTCTAATAACACTAAGAATATTCTGTACAAAGTAAAAATTAAACACGAGTAGGACAGCGAAACAGCTGAAAACATTTTGATGAACCAACTCTAGGAATGTTTTGATACACACTTAATCGACCACTTACTACACTGTTCGAAATAATTATTTGTAAATAGGTAATTAAGTCTACAACAACGATAACGAGCGTAAATTTATTTTAAACCTGCTCGAAAGTGCCGTTCAAAGCTGCCTCTTTCCTTTTCATTTCGGCTTCCCAGTTTTGCAAATCGGTCATATATGTTTGAAAAGTTTTTACATTATCTCGCACTTGCTTTTGAATCTCGAACGCTTTTTCCATGCTAAATCACAACTTTTTAATAAATAAGATTTTTAGTTTACCTGCAATAAATCGATATTTTGAGGTTGTCATGTCAATTCAATTGTCAAACTATTTTTCACGTTGTCATGGTGTTATTTTTAGAGTTGCCAGCGTGAATTTAGAGGTAACGTTATTATTGCGCTACTTAGACACTATAGTCGTGTAGATTCTTGTAATTAACCATGGAATTATAAGCAATAAATAATTTCATGCCGTTAACATTTCATGCTATGCAAGCATGGACGTACCTACTACTTTATAAACGACTACAACACTAAAATAAAATGGGACGAGTAAGAGATAGGGTCAGTTCGCCTGTTCGCGTCCATTTAGTGCAGTTGGAAAGTTTGACGGCGATAATAAAAATATCCCAGCACTAATTTCTATGAAAATTTTATGTAATGTGTTCATTATATAGTCTTTTCTAAGATTAAGTTTCAGTGTTGTTCGGAACATCTATTGTTTATTATTTAAATAGATAAACTTCGGAATTAGGCATTTTACCCACTTTGCGTAAACAAAATCCAAATTGCGTCCACCCGTGGACCATTTAGCGTCCACCACCTTAGAAAAGGAATATAGGGGTGATATTTGTAAGAATTTGTATAGAAAGATTGTACCTATATTAACAATTTCTTTACTTTAGAATATAAATATTAAAACCAACATTATTATCATTAAAATTAAAACTTTAAAAATTAAAAAATATTCTTCTCAACATTGATTGAATTTAAAATTATATAAGTAGTAGGTAAATAATGATTGCACCTTTAAGAATAAACAGTAATCAGTTCTGTTAATTTTACCCTAAAATCACAAGGTATGTTTTCCTCATTGTCGTCTTCTACATCTGAAATTAGTATATCGCCAATTTCAGAAAAAAATCTAACTTAAATTCCTGATTTATCATTTCCTGTGTCACTTTTTGAAAAGCATGTATCTTCTTCTTTCGTTTTGGAGCAGTTTTACGAAGCGTTTGAGAGTGTTTTAAACTCTGTTCTTGTTTCTCTATTCGTTTTAACTTTCTATTTCGTATTGCTTCCTGCTTTTCGTTCTTGATCTGCTCTTTATCTTCGTAATACTTACTCCATGCAGCAGAAGATATGGTTGCTAAAGTTCTTTTATTATCTTTTCGTGCTTTGTTAGAAATTTCGGGTAGCATCAAGTGGTGTCTGGTCCCGGTTTCTTTACTTCATTTGGTCTGCGCCCACTAATTTTGTACAATATTGTGGTCTTGGGAATAGCATATTCTTTGCATATGTGTCTTACCGATTTATTCTTTTCTCGAATTTCATTTAAAGATTTCTTTAAATCGCCTTGTGTGTTTCTCTTTTCCTTCTACTTTCTTGTCTCCGAAGAACTCATCTCAAATAGAAAAAAAATAAGAATGAAACAAATAAAGTATTTGATTGATTGATTCAAATTACTCATGTCATTTAAAAATAGCATTAAAAACACGTAGTCTTAATGAAAATTTATAATAATAATAATCAATACCTATATTTTAAATTATAATTATTTAATTGTATTTAACGAAAATAGTGGACGCAACTTGGTTTATTTTTATCCCCTGTTGGTACAGTTTGCGTCCATTGCGGACGCTTTGTAATTTCGATGTAGTAATTCGCGTCCACCTTATTTTATTCATTAAATATAAAAAACATAAGAAAATTTATAATTAATTTTATTCCTTTCTTCACTATAAAAGTATAGAAACAGCTATGTATCCTAAAATTAACATAAGAAAATAAAAAACTTACCATCGAACGCGCCGCTGCACACTATTTTTTATCTAAACATCCCGCGAGTTTGATGAATAACCGAGACACGGTAATATTATCTTATTACCGTGACCGAGACTAACTATTTTTTTAAAACGGGATTGTTTGGCGGACCTACCTTTTGACCATGTGTTCGTGCCTCTTATATATTAAGGTACTAGCGGTAATTACTTTTTGTTTAATTGGTGTGTTAGTTTACTTATTTTTTAGGATTTTTTAAGGGAGATCCGTAAAATGGTCGCGAATTGGGCGATGGACGCGAACAGGCGAAGTGACCCTATAGAGCTGAAGCCTTTTTCATGGTTTTCTAATAGGATGGCCTTAATTATTTTTCGGGGAATGTATATATGTATATGTTTTTTTAATAGCGAATAGCTAAATGATGCTGGCATCAGCTTCACACGGTAATAATTGGTAGTGTTTGGTGATGGTACTTTCATTGTAATGAATGTAATCTTGCACTTGTAAAGGTATTGATTTCTTGCTTTTTTACACTGACAACTGAGACGAGGCCACAACACTGCGTCTGACACATCTTATATTGCCCACAGAAGGCGGCTGGAGAAGCTCGTCCTGGAAGAGTGGACTGAGGAGCTCGGGACGCAGCAATATGGGACCAGGACCCTGGAATCGCTGCGACCAGTGCTCGACCAATGGAGGAGAGGAGGCATGGGTCGCTGACCTTCCGTCTGGTGCAGATGCTGTCAGGGCATGGATGCTTTGGCAGCTATCTGCATCGTATACGGAGAGAAGCGAATCCGTCGTGCCATCATTGTGGCGCTATCGGGGACACAGCGCAGCACACCCTAGAGGAGTGCCCGTTGTGGTCCCGGCAGCGCCATGATATGGTCATGGCAATAGGACTAGATTTCTCGCTGCCCAGCGTCGTTACAGCGATGCTGGACAGCGGCAGATCCTGGACTGGGGTAGTCTCACCCTTCGAGAAGGGGATGCCTAGGTGCTTCCGGGCATGAACCGCCACGAAACCCGTTCCGCCTGGCGAGGAAGCACTTAGTCGGTAGCCCCCCCCCGAAATTAATCCAGTACTAAAATGGCAGTTTACAAATATTCCATTGGTGTAGGAACGGGTGAGCTGGAATGAAAAGTAGACCGTCAAGACAGTCACAGGGGGGGGGGGGGGGGGCTATTCGCCTGAGTCGCGGAAGAATCCCTAAGGGCGACCCCGCGGCTTCGCATGGAGCAGCGTTGAAGGTATTCGCAGGGTTTTTTAGCGGATATTATACCGTAAAGCGCCCGTAAGTCCTGAGTGGGCAGCCACTGTGGGGGTCCGTAAGGCTTGCGGGAGCCAGGTGTGAGGAGGTCCGTTCGGCGGTGTGCCTCTTAAAGGTGCCGTCGTCTGTAAAAAGATTTTTGCCTGCGTATTAAAAAGGAAGAGGGGGGGGGGGGGGGCTATTCGCCTAAAGGAAATGCTTTGGAAAACGCTAACGCTAACGATTTCGTTTTGTTATTTCTAGCCGCCTGAGGTTCTCAAATGCCTCGCGCTCTTTTTTTTTCTTTTGCTTTGGTAATAACAATATTAAGAAAAATGAGTGTGAGGTACTTATTTGAAAACCTTCGGCGGCCAGAAATAACAAAATAAAATCGAAATTGTTAGCGTTTGCTAAAGCATTTCCGTTAGGCGAATGGCCCTCAGCAGTATTCCAGCACTGGATTTAATCGCTGGACTGGAATACTACTAGAATAACGTGAACCGGCCATCAATCCAGTCATAGAACTGGAATTCTTACTCGAAAGGGAATAAATACTCCATTGCCGGTTCACAATTATCCAGTAGCGTTCCAGCGTTGGATTCAATAACTGGACTGGATTGCTACTGAAGTAATGTGAACAGTCCATTAATTATGTTTTTTTTCTTTTTTTGTCATGTTGACTTTGATGATGCAATTTTTCCGCTGCGTCATATTTCGGGTAGGTAAAATGAAACTCTAATTTAGAGATTAACCTTGATATTATTATTATTTCAATCTAGTAGGTGAAGTAGGTATATTGTATTTTACACTATCATCCATCTTATGGCGTGCGATGTTCACGATTTTTGTTAATAGTGACGAAATTAGTTTGGCACACCTAATTGAATACGATTGCAGCGCTAAAATGTTGCACTAATCACAAGATCAATTAGCTCGAGTGTAATTAAGTTATTTCTTTGCGCCATATACATCATTTCTACTGTATGTACTGTAACGTCCTTGACGTTGCAGCCTCCTTGTTTAGGTAAACTCTTTGCTTTTGCAATGCCTACGGTTGGCAGTTATATTAAAAAGTTAATGTCATGATTTTAAGATTTGAAATAAGGAATCGTCTGTCTTTTGATAGAAGGTTCCATTGATGATTAGATCTTCAGGCACCAAGAAATCCTCTCGTATTTAGCTAAAATACTTCTATATTAGCCTGAATGATAATACAAAATAAATAACTTATCTCTACCAGTATCTTTCAATTAATATCTACGTCCCCAGGTTCTATCCCTTCTGGGTAGAACTCTATAGTACCTACCTTATTATATTATAGAGCTTACAGTGCCGTTCATTTATTAGGTAAGTATTAAATTTATTTGGCTACCTACTTATAAGATCAAGAATGAAAGTTCATAATATACCTACTTCATCATCAGCCTCGGAGGAGTGTCTTCTCTAGCCTTGTAGTGATCGTGTGCAATAATTAACCTAGCGCCTTTAAAGCGCGGTAAAAAGGTAATGGTGGCGAGCACAGAAAATAGAAAGAGGTTTTTTTTTAATAAAACTTATTTATTTATTATATTTTAAGTTGATGAATATAACATAATTGTGATGTAGAGGATTCGATAGTTGGTGAGTAGCCCCATCAGAATCCGAGGACGCGTCGAGTGCGGCCAGGGAGGTCGAATGGGTGGAAAAGGCAGGGAGAGGAGAGGACGGTTTAATAATAGTGAGAGGCGAAAGAAGAGGAGAGGAAGGGAAACGAAGCAGAAAATAAATAAAAGGTTTAAAGGCTGCGAGTAAGAGTGTAAGGGAATAGGTTTAACAATCTATATCTATACTTATAATATATCTGTAGAGAGGTCAATTCTGTACATGAAATATATTTTCAAAATAACTATCAGGGGGTGATTAGTGATCGATACTGATGCCAAAAATGCAATCAGTAAAATTTTTGTCTGTCTGTGTGTATGTTCCATATAGAAACAAAAACTACTCGACGGATTTTAACGAAACTTGGTACAATTATTCTTCATAATCCTGGGCAGGTTATAGTATACTTTTCATCAC